GTGTCCCAGTCCTGCTGTCATGCTGCTACAGCACTTGTCATGGAGCTGTTTTCCCATTTCCCTTTGGCTCCAGAGTCCCCATTGAGAGCCCAGCCTTTGCCCTCTGGTTAAGCACCTTATTTTTAGCTAATGAGGGTTGGGAATTGCCACCTCCCCGTTTGGAGTTGCCGCTAGGTCAGCTGGAAAAGTGATGAGCTGCATAACCCGAGCTTTCCAAATGGTGTCTGTTTTCCTGTAATCTCTGGGTGTCAACTCAGCATTTTATAACAAACAGGAGAATAAAAGGAGGTGCTCCCGCCTTTTGGAATGGGATACAACCACTCTTAGCAACATTGATTTTTCTGGTGGTGTTGCATAAACACCCCATGGGGTTTGTCTCTGCTTGTGCCCCGAGCACTTGGCTCTGCCCTGAACTGGATTTAGCGGTGGCTTTGGCAGTACAGGGTTAGCAGTTGGATTTGAAGGAATTAAAGGTAATTTCGTTACCTAAATGGGTCTGTGATTCCATGATGTCCCTCTGCATGGGGCCCAGGTGAAGCTTTGGGATGAACCCGTCTACACTAGAGCAGAGGCTCCTCATCCTTGGAATCTTCTTGGAGCAAAAGCAAAGCAATCCCTGTATCCCAAAAATCCTCCATGGCAGGAGGTGGAGTGGACACAGTCATGGATGCTTGCCCCCAGCTGCCCAGATGACGGCCCCAATGCTGACCCCCTCCTGCACCAAGACTTCTGCCAGCCCTGGCTGCTGGATCCTGCTCCTTCCCACTGTGACCCAGCTGTATCCCAGACCCTTTTCCAGTGCAAGCACCCTGGCCTTGCCACTATCCAGGAACAAGGGCTCTGCCCCACATCAGCTGCTGGTTGTTGGCCACATCCAGCACTTTGCTTATTTTTAGTGTGTAGAAAAGCAGAGCCGGTGTCAGGAAGGCAGGGTAGGTCCTTGGCAAAAAGGACCCTGGAAAAACAAAGCTGTGGTTTCCCTCTCCGTGTTCCCTCTGCTTTTAATCTTGTTCATCCTGGGAGGCTGAAGATCTCCCAGGAGACTCATGGGGACACCACAGTTCCTCTCCCAGGTCTCTGCAGTGGGTGAAGCTGCTCTCAGACGCTTGGGCTCAGTGCCACCATTGCAAAAGATTCCTCACACAGGATGTGCCAAGGGAAACACAGGAATCCGGCAGCAGGCAGGATGATGGGAACCTTGACAAAGGAAGCAGTGAGCGAGAAATCCGGGGAAATGTGCTGGCTGCTGGCACAGCAGTGTTGTGCTGAGGGTTGACACTGGCAGTGAGCTGCGGGCTCTCACACCTCCTCTCATGTTCCCCGTGGGGATGGGGTGAGCTGGCAGCAGCTGGATCCCTCTGAATCCCACAGAAGCTGAGCTTTGGAAGCTGATGGGACTCTTGAGCCTGCAGCCATGAAACCCTCAGAGGAACAAGCTGAGGACCCATCGGAGGCTTCACTGAGCCAGTGATGAGGGTCACTTCAGGAGTCCTGTGTCCATGTTTCCCACGTGAGAAACATCTAGGAAGGGCCATACCTGCCCAACCTGGTTTGTCCATCAGTGGCACAGCTAGGGGATCCAGTAAGGAGTAAGGAAGTGGCAGGATTTGAAGTGAAAAAGCATCTCTGGGGGGCAGTGATCCAGCTGACCCTGGGGATATCTTCCTCTGGGGCACCAGGCTCCCTGCTCTGTCACTGCTCTGCCATCCATCACTGTCATGGTGTGATCAGTAGGTCAGCAGGAACTGGGGACCCACCAGGAGATGAGCCCATGATGTCACCCCCCTGGGAGAGTGGCAGTGTGGGGGACTTGTGCTGATTCTCCATCCCAGCCCTCTGTGAGGGATTAACTTTTTCATGCTGTAGCTCCAGCTGTTTCCTTATCAAGGCCCATTGCTTTTATTTATCAGGAATTCCCTAGGCTAATTCCACTGCATGGAACAAACCCTGGTTTGTGCTGTTGTTTGTAAAAGCTCTGCCCTTCTGTTCTGTGTGCTGGGAGACTCACAGGGAGTTTTCCTGTTGGCAGCACCAGCAACACATTGGTCTTTGTAATGGGCAGTGTCCACCCTGCCCAGCCCTCAAACTGCATTTTAGGGCATTTTCAGGGTGCTGGACCACATGCAGGTGGTTTGCAGGACAATCTCAAGGTATAAGTTGGAGTGTCAGACCCTGGCCCTTGCTGGCATTCCCAGGTAGTCAGGGCAGGCACAGAGGTGCTGTGCTGAGCAGGGTCCTACTGGTCCCCCAGTCCCCCAATATGGAGACAAGCCAGTACCCCCAAAATCACCTTTGTCTTGGTCCATGAATTGCCCTGGCCACCCCTGCTGTGGAGGTAGGTTGAGAGAGCTGGAAGAGAAGAGAAGAGAAGAGAAGAGAAGAGAAGAGAAGAGAAGAGAAGAGAAGAGAAGAGAAGAGAAGAGAAGAGAAAAGAGAAATGATGAGACCTTAAAAGCCTCTTCCAGTGCCTAAGGTTCCAAGAGCTGGAGAGAGACTTTGGACAAGGGCATGGAGTGGCAGGACAAGGGAGAATCCCTTCCCACTGACAAAGGGCAGGGTTAGATGGGATATTTGGAAAAATTTCTTCCCTGTGAGGGTGGTAAGGCCCTGGCACAGGTTGTCCAGAGAAGCTGTGGATGCCCCATCCTTGGAAATGTTCAAGGCCAGGTTGGACAAGGCTTGAAGCAACCTGGGCTAGTAGAAGGTGTCCCTGCCCATGGCAGAGGGCTGGAATGAGATGATCTTCAAGGTCCCTTCCAACTCAAACCATTCTGTCATTTTAACCCCTTGCTACAGGCAGGGATGCCACCCACTAGACCAGGGTTAATCGTGGATTTCCCCTTGCTTTCCTGGTGAGGCTTCACTGGTGCTGCAACTACTCATCCTGGTCCATGTGATGGGGGTAATTCTGAGTGCAGATCCATAATTTCCTCTGCCTTTAATAGCCATGTACCACATGGGAAGGTATGTGTTCAGCTTTGGTGCTGAATCTGCCCACCTTGCCTGTCCTGGGCAGCCTGTGGGCACAGTGAGGCTTCTGGGGAGACTGAAGAGGCCCATTGATCCTTTGGGAATAATGACAATTAATTATCATTATTAAATTCCTGACACCCTGGGTACTGTAGGAGGCATCAGGCCTCAGCGTGGGCACCAAGCAAGTCAGCAGCAGTGGGAGGAGGAGAAGGAGGAAATGAGGTCCCCAGATACGAGGCCAAATGCAGGTGTCCCGACAGAGCCATTCCAGGCTGTGGATGCTGGCAGCAGGTGCCTGGCGTGTGATGTGGGACATGTGCTGGACACACACATGCCATCTGGAATGGTGGCACTTGCTGGTGTCAGTAGTGCACAGAGAGAGCCCTGCACAGAGCAGTGTGGCATGAGGATGACCTTGCCACGAGTGGGGAAGATCCAGGTATAGCTGAGCTGATGCTGGGCACCACAGGGATAATACCAGATACCACTGGACTGCAGGGGAGAGGGTGAGGAATCAACCCTCTCAAATCTCCCTAAATCCCTGCTCAGAGCTGTTGGAGCCCAGGCTGTGCTGCAGCCCCATGTGGTACTGCTGGAGGGTGATGGAGAATCCTGGAGGATGCTCCTGCCAGCGTGAGGCCATGCACAGCTCTTGGTGGATGCTGATTCATGCTGCTGCAGTAGCGAGCTCGATGCCCATTTGGGAGCAGTGATCCAGAAGGACAGAACACTGCCTTCCACTGCCCAGGTCATCTCCAGACAAATCCATCCCAGGTGAGAGCAGCAGGATCCCCAAATTCTTCCTGCAGTGTTCCAGGAGTGCTGGCACCCTTCTGTCATGGGGCACTGTGCCTGCTGGGTCTTGGGACTTCACAGCACAGTGCTCTGAGATCTTTGGTGCCCTGGTTTGGGGATCAGGAAGCAGCAAATTCTGGATAGAGGAGGCACCTGGGCTGGCCAAGGTGGGCCTTGAGGTATCCTGAAAGAAAAATAACCTGGGGTGGTAATTGCAGAAGGCTGCACTGGGCTGAGCTGGATATGTCCCCCTTCCTGTTCTGCCTCCCCTGTTGTCCCACTCCTCACTCTCCCCTGGAGCAGGGCCAGCAGCATGGAGTGTTTCCTGTCACCCATCGATTATCTGTTGGCAGATCCCATCTCCTGCACTGCTCTGCCAAAATCTGAGATAAATGCTGGCATTGTGAATAGGCCTGGGGAGCGGGGGCGGGGGGAGGGGGCCATGCTGCCCCCGGCCCCTCAACCTCTGTCAGTCTGGGAGCACAGTGGGGATCCCAGCAGAGCCATGGGTGCTTGGCAGGATGTGGGTGCTGAGCAGATGCTTCCCTCACTCCCTCACATCCTGCATGTGCCCGAGGTGCTGCAAGCCTCTGGATCTGGCCTATTTATTTACAGGAGAGCAGGCTCTGTGTTTCCCTAGGGATTAGCAGCTGCTGCCTCAGCATGCAGGGATCTGTTCTTCCTCACCTGATTTCACTGCTGAATGGGGGATTTGCGCTTAATTAAGGAAAAGCAGGCACCCAGCCCACTGCAGGGAGAGCTGTCTGCCGCGGGAGCTCCATGGCTGGGTCAGAGCCCTTGTACCATCTCTGCCCCCAGTAATGCCACCACTGCAGGCACTCGGTCGCTGTGGCATTATCCTGCTGCCTGGCAGGGATGGGGATCTGGGAGAAGGGAAGTCTTGTACCGTGGTGGGAAAGGGGCTCCAGACCATGGGCAGGCACCTGCTCTGCTTTTGGTCTGCCTTTTAAATTAACAACACCCTTGTCCCTGTGGGACCACGGGCATGCAGTATTCCAGCATTTCTGGGCTATGGGAGACAAATGGGAAGCACAGCCCAGATGTGCAGGGGATGCTGTCTTCATCTGTCCCTCTGCTGGTGGCCCTGGGGACTATACTGATGCGAGGGCTCACCCCACAGGGTCCCCATCTCCTCAGGGCCATTTTCCTGCCTTCACCTGCTCTCTCTGTTGCCTTCACCCGCAGTTCCCTGTGCCCAGGACCCGTGGCACCGAGGCCATGTCCGTGCCGGGGAGCAGACGCGCGTCCACAGGATCACGAAGGTGAATATGCTTCAACCTCTGGCCTCGGGACTGGACACCAGCGCCTGCAGCCGGGATGAGACGATCCCCACGATCCCCACACCTCCACCACCAGCTGCCACTTCGCAGCACGAACCCCCAGCCCAGCTTTCAGGGGTTTGCATGGCACTGCCCGCTGCACAGCACTTCCCTGTCCGTGCATGCAGCTCCCCGAGTGCTGCACGCCCCGTCCCTCTGTCCGTCTGTGCCACAGCCAGGACCGACCCCTCCGTCCGTCCAGGCGAAGGCAGGCAGTGGTGGAGAGCACTGGGTTGGGGCAATGAAACTGGGAGGTATGTTAGCCCTTGGAAAATATCTTCTTGAGCTGAGTGACAAAGAGAGAAAAAGCATTTATTCCCCTCCCAATGTCTCCATGACCTGGACTGTTGTTATGGAGATACAGGCTCAGCATGGGCAGGGAGAAGAGGCAGAGCTGCCCACGTGAGGTGATGCTCTGGCAGGTGTGGCTCGAGCTATGCTGGGACCGTGCTCCCAGGGGACTCTTATGGGGCTCCCAAGGGGCTTACAAGGGGATCCCAGGGGCTCCCAAGGTCCTCAGGGTGCAAGGATGCTGTGCCAGCATCCATGGGCTGCCACACCAGGGAAGGGGGAGTGGGTGGACATCCCCCCCAGCCCTGCCTTTGTGCCCGTCGCCATGTCCGTGCAATTTTGATCCCTGCTGTTTGTTTTGTCCTTTTGTCTTGTGTGTTCTCGGTGTGGTGGTTGGCAGTCGCGGGGTTTATGGACGGAGTGGCTTTGCCTCCTTCTTTAAGTCTTCAGCGCCCTCAGCCACTCGGCCTGAGACACAGCCTCTTCTCCCTGCCTCCAGGCGCCCCTCGCCCCCCGGGAGGGACACCTACGGCACCTCCTCGCTGAGCAGCAGCAGCAATTCTGGCTCCTGCAAGGGCAGCGACAGCAGCCCCACCCCAAGGTAACCCATCACCCGTGGCCCCAGAGCGGCTGCTGGGTGCCCCCGGGCAGGGGGGGCAGCCCCCCGTGCTGCCGGTGCCGGTGCCCAGCGGGGACAGGAGCGGGGACAGGAGCTGAAGCGAGGCTGTGCGCTTGTGGCTGGGGGAGCCGGAGCTGGCGGAGCTGCTGGTGTGTCTCCACAGACCCTCACTACCCTCCTCCTCCAAACCCCTCCGCCGCTGTTGTTGTGTTGTGTCCCTCCCTGTCCCCCCGCCTGCCACCCAGGGATCTCCCATCCTCTTCCCTCCGTCCTGCTGTGGCTGTGGCTTGCACGCTGCACGCTCCCTCCTGCCACTCCTGCATTCCAAGGAGCACCCGGATCCTTCCAGACCAAAGGCACGAGGGCAAGAGCTTCGCTTCCATCCCCTTGTGTTGCCCGGCAAAGGTTTGGCAAGAGCTGGAGGCCCCCTGGCTTCTCGGCAAGGAACTCCAGCTGTGTTCGGGGCACAAAGAGCTGGCACCAAGCTGTGGGATGGGCACCAGCCCCAGCCCTGCAGGCACAGCAGCCCGTGGTGCACTGCTCATCGCCTGCCTGTCCTCTGCCCCCTGCCAGCTCCCGGAGGTGGAATCATTCTGGGAGGATCTGAGAGGCCCACGGGCAGCATGGTGAGCAGATCCCATGCGTGCTGTGGCCGGGGACAGTGGCTGTCGTGCTGCCATGGGGCATTCCAAGGCATGGATGCTTCTAACACAATGCTTCTGGACATGGCTAAAGGCTGCTGGGCTGATGGACACCGTGCAGGGAACTTTGCAGTGCCTCCTTTCCATACGCAGGGAGTTCAGTCCCCCTACTGCCATGCCAGAGCCACTCGTGCAGCTCCCAGCTCTCCACGTGCCTCCCAGCTTGGCCATGTAGCCCTGTCCCTGGCCAGCTCCTGCTCTCCACACTGACTTTGGGCCAGAGATGTCTTCATCTGCTCCAGTGGTGGCACTAGGAGGATCCAGAGTGCTGCTGGCCCAGCCTGGAGCAAATGCTGGATTCCCTGGCTTGCTCCCCATGAGCAGGACAGCCACCATCTCGAGACCTGCTCCATCCCAAACCCTTCCATTCCCCATTTTGTGGGGGCTGATCCCACCCTGGGGGTCTCCATGCATATCAGTTGTTTCCAGGAAGGTCACTTTGGGCACACACAGACCTCGGTTCCCCTGGTTCTGATCATGCCCCAGCACCACAGAGGGCTCAGTACCTGACAGCAGCACTGGTGTGTCCAGGAGCTGCCCCCACCCTCCTGCCAGGCCACAGCACCCAAGACACCCACCCTGTCTGTCCTGCCAGAGGCACAACACTCAAGGCACCCACCCTTCCTCTCTTGCCAGGGCACTGCACCCTCATGCACCCACCCTGCCCCTCCTGCTCTCAGGGCTCCTTTGGGATGTATTATGGGGCAGCACCCCGACAGCAGGCGTTAGTACCCCTGGGTCAAGCCTGTGCTGACCCTAGCACTGGCAGTGGGTGACATCTGTGTCCCCGCAGGCGCTCGTCCAAGTACAACCTCTGCAGTGACAACCATGGGATAAAGCCACCAACACCCGAGCAGTACCTGACTCCCCTGCAGCAGAAGGAGGTCTGCATCCGGCACCTGAAGGCTCGCCTGAAGGACACACAGGAGCGGCTGCAGGACAGGTGAGCATGTGACCTCATGGGAAGAGTGCCAGCACCAGCCATCACTACCCACTGTGGCAGCTCCTGTCTGGGACTGGTCCTTCTGGGTGTCTCAGTTCCCAGCATGGCACCTTGTCCTCATGCTCGTGCCCTGGGACTGAGGTCACAGCTGTACCACGGCATTGCTGGCATGTGGGATCTGGCACCTGGGAGCTGCACATTTGGGGAGTGGAGAGCCCCACGTCCCACCTGCAGTGGCTGCATTCTCCCCTCACCCTGTTTAAGTCCCTGCCATGCTTTTGCTGAATTTCAGCGTCAGAGGGTGGCTAATCCCCATCTGCTCCTCTCAGGCTTAGGCATGGCCCTGCCGCCGTGCCAGCTGCCACGCGTCTGCCTGGGGCACCTGCCCACCCCCATGTAGCCCTCCGGAGTCCTGGGCACTGCAACCCCTCCAGGAGGAGGCTGAGCATCACTTCCAGTGATCCCTGGGCTCCCATTGCTCCAAACAGTGATCCCAGGGGGCCCTGAGCATCAGTCCTGAGGGTCCTCAAGCATCAATCCTGAGAGTCCCCAAGTCTCATCCCTGAGGGTCCCTAAGCATCCATCCTTGGGGTCCCTGAGTGTCACTCCTGAGAGTCCCTAAGCATCACTCCTGGGGGTCCCTGAGCATCACTCCTGAGGGTCCCTAAGCCACTGGCTCCATCCCTTGTTCCCAGCTGGGAGTGTTACTGTGTGATTGATTGCAATCCAGTGCTGGGCACACGAGGACAGGGCTGTCCCTGCAGCCCCCTCAGCGCCGCGGTGCTACCCTCCCGTCTCCACAGGGATGCTGAGATCGAGGACCTGAAGACGCAGCTGTCACGGATGCAGGAGGACTGGATCGAGGAGGAGTGCCACCGCGTGGAGGCACAGCTGGCGCTGAAAGAGGCTCGCAAGGAGATCAAGCAGCTGAAGCAGGTCATCGACACAGTGAAGAATAACCTACTGGAGAAGGACAAAGGCCTCCAGAAGTATTTTGTGGACATCAACATCCAGAACAAGAAGCTGGAGACGCTGCTGCACAGCATGGAGGTGGCACAGAACGGGGCGCTGAAGGAGGAGGGCGCCGGCGAGTCGGCCGGGGGGTCCCCGGCCCGATCCCTCACCCGCAGCTCCACCTACACCAAGCTGAGCGACCAGGGAGCCGGGGACCGCAACGTGGGGGGCTCGCAGACCATCTCGCTGGACGAGGGGGCCGACAGCGGCTTCGTGGGGATGGAGGATGCTCCGGGCCACACGGACCCGCTGGAGGTGGGGGGTGAGCCCGGCACCCGCCTGCCCCCCAGCAACACCTACGAGAAGGTGCTGGGACTGCGGAGCAGCGTGGAGGCAGGGGTGCAGGCCAGCTGCATGCAGGAGCGGGCCATCCAGACGGACTTCGTGCCCTGCCAGCCCGACCTGGACACCATCCTAGAGAAGGTGATGAAGTCTCAAGCTTGCAGCTTGGGCAGCCCCACCTCAGCCTGGGTCTCTGAAATGGAAGACACGATGCCCGTCCCCGAGCTCGCCAACCCCACCGGGACCACGGACCTGATGGTGGCCGAGCCCGACGCCGCGACGGCGGCTGCCAGTGCCGAGGGGGGTGTCCCCTGCAACCCGGCGGTGCGGCAGCCCCCCAGCGCCAGCCCCTCGGTGGCCATCGCCTGCGTGGCGGAGGAGGAGCTGACGGAGGTGACCAGCTGCGAGACCAACCCTTCCAAGAGCTACTGGAGCCGCCACTTCATCGTGGATCTGCTGGCGGTGGTGGTGCCGGCGGTGCCCACGGTGGCCTGGCTGTGCCGCTCGCAGCGGCGGCAGGGCCAACCCATCTACAACATCAGCTCGCTGCTGCGGGGCTGCTGCACCGTCGCCCTGCACTCTATCCGCAGGATGGGCTGTCGCCCCGTCGCCAGCCCCGGCCCCGGAGGCGCTGCCCAGCCCTGACCCCTCCGACGCCCTCCACCCGCCCCCACGAACCCGACTGCTGATTGTAAAGCCCCGGCTTGGCACTGGCGGGTGGGAAGGGGCCGAGAGATCTGTGGGTGCATCGAGGTGGGCTGCCTGCCTCCCCCCCCAGCTCCTTTGTCCTGGAGGAGGGAAAGAACCGTTGTTAGAAGAGGGGTGTTGGCACCCAGCGTCACCCCCGCCGATGGACACCCCAGCCTGTGCCTCTGGCTGCGGCGGGCTGTGGGGCTGCACCCGCCGGGGGGGGCTCTCCCTCCGTCGCACTTGCTTTTTGTTTGTCGCCGGGTTATCCCCGGAGCCAGCCCTGCCACGGGCGGGTGATGGATGGCAAGGAGCCGCTGGCAGCGTGGAGCGCTGGGGATGCAGGCGGTTCCCTGCTCCAGGTGCAGTGTCTGTCTGTGGGCAGGGGGATGGGGCTTCCTGTCCAGACACAGGGATCAGCTCCGGAGCGGTTCGGGCCAGCCCCCCGTGCCCTAGGAGATGCCTCCCCACGCTGGGATGGAACTGGGCTGCAGCTCATGCACGGAGCCCCCCGAGGAAGCCGTGGGCTCTCCCTCCCTTTGCTTTGCACTATATTCACTTTTTTTTGGGTACAGACTGAAGCCCGGTTGTTGGGACTCTGGCTGCCGGGGAGCGGGACCGGGGGCTCCTGTAATTTTGTCAGCCGTGATGCCGGTGATGCCACCACGTGCTGGAGCTCGGATGCCTTTGCTGGGGTGCGAGCAGTGCCGTGCAGGCAGAGCCAAGCCCTTTGCCGCCCCGGCCCACCCAAACCCCCGCTTTGCTGGTGGCCTCCGGAAAAATGCCTTTTTTGTTGTTGTTGAAACACAAAGACAGCAAGGATTGCTCAGCGGGGCTGTTGGGGTGTGGAACTTGGGGCTCCCCCAGGCGTACCGCACTCCCACCCCACGAATGTCTGTGGTTTCTTCGTGACTTGAACTAACAGTGTTTCCCCCCAGCCCAAGCCCACTCCCCCACCCAATGGGTGCCACTGGCCAGGTGCCCTGGCAGCCGGTGATGCTCCACACGCCGGTGTCCAGTGGTCCCCAGAGGGGCACATGCCAGATCCTGTGTGCCCCACACTTCCCTGCATCCCCCTTCTGCCGGCTCTGCCCGTGCTGGGGGACAGTGGGGACAGCAGCTCTGCCACCAGCACAGCACCAGGTGCTGGGGGAAGGATTTGGGGAGCAGCAGTGTCCAGGCAGCCGGGGCAGCTGTAAGAGGAGCTGGGATATTCGCCTCTCGTGCAATGTATTTGTGGATCTGTGTACACGTCTGTTAGACTATCCAAAGCTTTGCCAAGAAATAAATGTAACGACTATATTTGAAAGACAAATCTATATAATATATTTTTTAAATACAGAACTGAACAAGCTGTAACCCCCCTCTTCTTGTTTCCCCTGTCCTGTACTCGCTGTCTGTGGTGGATGTAATAAATGTTGCTGGGTCTATGTCTGCTTTGGCTGGAGCCAGCCCTTGCCATCCTCCCTGAGGGGGTGGCCCAAGCAGGGACACAGGGACAATGGGACCCTGGTACAGGACATCTGCCCCGTTCCTGCTGCGGAGAGGAAGAATCACCCAGCAGCCACCAGACTCTGAAGGGATAAGGGGTTTTGTGCTAAAATAGCTCCTTTGGAGGTGCTGTGGGGTCCCCTCAGCAGGCCTCCTGGGCCTCCAGCATCAGCTCCTGGAACAGCAGCGGTGGTGTCACAGGTCAGGGATGGAGTGGTCCATGGATGACTTCACTAGCCCTGATGAGAGCCTGAGCAGAAGGAAGTGAGGTCAGTGGGGGGAACCCGAGGGTCCCTGTGGGGTGGGGGGGGGGGGGGTCCTTGCAGCCCCACGTTCTCACCGTTTGACCATGTGCTCGTAGATCACAGTGGGGATGATGGTCAGTGTCACCACGTTCCCAGCCCCTGCCAGCACCTCCATGAGCTGCTTATCCTGTGGGAGAGAGCAGGGGGTCCATGGGGTGCCCAGCTTTGCTCAGTATGCCCGTCCCTCCTGGATTCTCTGGCCACATCCTGGACTCCCCAGGCATGTCCTGCACCACCAGGGCACAGCCCTACCTTCATGCCAATGACGTTCTGGCCGTTCACCTCACAGATGCAGTGGTGGGTGAGGAGCCCATTGCGGGCGGCTGAGCTGTCCTTGGCCAGTGACACAATCTTCCCCTTCTTCACCACAATGCCAATGTGGCCAGTGCTGTCCTTGTGCACAGTCACAGTGCGCTGGAAAGGCCTGTGAGGAGAGCACCATCAATGCTGCCATCAGCACTGCCAGCACCGCTGGTGCCACCACCCACTCACCTGTCCCGCACCACCATGACGATTTTTTCAGGGTTCGCCTTCTTCAGTGCACGCTGTGCCTTGTCACTGCTCCAGCCTGCACAGTTCTTGCCGTCGATCTGCAGCACCTGATCCCCGAAGCGCAGCCCCACCAGCGCTGCCGGTGAGTTGGCCTTCACCAGCTGCACGAAGATGCCCTGGGGACACAGTGGAGTGGTGGCACAGGGCTGGCGCAGGGACTAGTGGCCGTGCCATGCACCATGGTATGCCATGCCATGCCATCCGCACCCAGCTTTGCTGCGCTGTGGCAACTGTGATATTTAATGCCACACATTGCTGTGCCATGATGCGCTGCCATGTCACGCTGTGCTCTACTGTCATGCTCATGCCATGTCACATCATGCCATGACACACTGTGCCGTGCCATACCCAGCCCCTCACCTGGTCGACGTTCTTCAGCTGCAGCCCCGTCTTGCCCCGCTCGTCCTTGCACAGGTGGATCTCCCGCACACCTGGCTTGATCTCTGCCCGCCGCAGCCCCGCGCTGTTCCCACTCAGGGGGGCGACCAGCTGGCCTGGGGAGGGCCCTGCGGGGGTCAGTGCCTGTGGGGGAGCTGGGCGTCAGTGGAGACAGGGGGGACACAGGGCCCTCTGCACCTCCGTCCCTGGGAGTGCTGCATCCCTTTCCCAGGCAGGATGAGGAACCAGAGGGACCCCCATTATGGCATGGGGAGCCACATGGAGCAGGGAGCTCTCAGCCCAGACACCTACGGTGCTGTCTTCTGTGCCCAGGTTCTTCTGGATCTCCTCACTGGAGAGCGCCAGCCCCATGTAGTTCTCCAGCTCAGCTAGGTTGGGATACAGCACAGGTGGCTCTGAGGGACATACCAAGGGTGGTCTCAGCTCCTGGGGCCCCTAACCCACAGCTGTTGCCCCCTCCATCCCAGAAGCCCCCTGGGACCATGGGCCAACAAAAAAAGACTCCAAAAGCCCATCCCCAGCCCATGCACTGAGTTGTGGGAGGTCTCATCTGAGCCCCCCCACACTGAGCATCATTGCCCACCCAGACAGCCCCTGCACAGGGTGAGCTGATCGTGTCCCATCTTACCAGTGCCCGAGGTGAGTTTTGGCTTCTCTGTGACCACTGTGGTGGCAGGGGTCCTCACCCCAGCTGCTGCCTGTGCCTGCCAAGAGACAGGGTGCTTAATGCTGTGCCCCCCACCCTGGGGACCCTCTGAGGTGAGACCCCAAAGGGACCCCTTGGGTTCCCTTCACCCCATGTAACACTGGCACTGACCTGCAGGACCTGGTGGCCCTTCATGTCCTCCAGGGAGGGGTAGAGTGTTGCCATCGCTGCTGCTGTCTGGGGACAGGGATGGGGTGGTTCAAGTACTGGTTTGCCTCTCTCCAAGCATCCCTCCCAGCCCGTGTACCGGAGATGGGCTGTCACCTGGAATCTCCAGTGTGACTCAAGGCTATGTCAGCAGGGTCACCACCACCACCATTTCCTGGCTGGCTGTGTGCTGGGCAGGTCCTGCTCCCGATGTTCACTTGTCCCACAGAGCCATCCCAACACCACCCAGATAGCAGAATGGGATATCCCATGGGAATGGCCCCTTTGCCCCTGATCAGACCCCTCTGCTCCCCATTCCCAGCTGGCCAGTGGGACCATTCCAACATTACCCAGCTGCAACGGTGAGATGTCTCATGGGAACAGCCCTTGTACACACCATCAGCCCCCTCTTTACCTCATGTTGTGCCCAAGACTGTGCTTCCAAAACCTACTCTATGGCATTTTGTGCCCCAAACATCCAAAATTCGTGGGGTAGAGGTCAAATCCAGACCCAGCTCTCAGCCCTGTGGGAACCAGGCAGAATCCCACCTGCAGCCCAAGGATAGCAGCAGCATCCAACAGACAAGACTCCCCAAGTCCAATCCTGGCACCCCTGGACTCACCTGCCAACAGCTCCCAGATCCTTGTGACACCCTCTGCCTGGTCCCTGGATTTTATAGCCGGGCCCAGCCCAGGGAGGAGCCAGACAGCCTCAGCTGATTGCACCTCCGCCAGGTAGGGCACAGGTGAGGAAGAGGAAGAGGAAGATGAAAGCAACAATGCACAGAGCCCTGGCACTGAAGGGATGGGACAGGGATTGGGATGGGGACAGGGATGGCTTTCTGAAGGTTCAGGAAGCAGGGCTGGGGCTGTACCTTCCATGGTGGCCCCCCCCCAACACTTCTCCTGCCACCCCCAGCATGTGGCTTGGCCCCCCAACTGCCCCTCCCCCCATTATCCTTATTATCCTTCCTGGGCTCCACGGACCCTGCTGGGGGGGGGGAAAGGGGGTTCCCCACTGTGATCCCCTGCGTGGGCAGTGGCTCCTGCTGACACCTCACTGCCCTGGCGTGTCAGGCTGGCGCGGCTGTGACCGGGATCCCGTGTCCCACACCCTCCCAGCCATCAGCTGGGACACGTGCCAGGTGTGGGAGTCCCATGCTACAGGTGGAGAAACTGAGGCAGCACAGAGCTCAGCATGGGGTGGCTGGGGCGTCCTGCTGCCATGGGCCATCACCATGTCACCCGGGGATCCAGTCCTCCAGCAGCCAGTGGTGACATTCTGCTGTGGGCATTGAGGATGCCATGGGCCACCGTGTCCCCAGGGGCTGGGCAGGGGGGTGCTGAGGGTGCTTGGGCAGGCCTGGACCTGGTGGCACCAGCCCAGAGTTCCCTGGCACTGGGCCAGCCTCACTGTGGAGCCACAGCCAGGCACATCCCAGCTCCCTGTGCCTCCGCTCTGGCGTGCCAGGCAAGGAGGAAGTGTTTTATTTACCGGTGTTATTTTTAGCTGGATGGTGCCCAGCTGCCTTGACCAGCCCAGGACAAAAACAGCCTGAGCACCAGCGGCAGAGAGAGTCCTACACAGACAGAGGATTGTTCCCTGGAGACTCTTCATTTCCTGAAACCCTCAGCCCCACAAAACCACAACTGGAAAGACTCACACCCCACCTGCACTCACAGGTGCTGCAGGAGCTGTGCAGGGGCTGAGGGCCCAAGGGCAGGAAGGTTCCCTCAGCCTCCCCCCAGGCCCAGCTCAGCCCCAGCCAGAAGCCATGGCACTGCCTGGCACCAGTTAATAATTAAAGCAAAAATCTTTGCAGGAAGAGAAACCCAAACTGGCCTCAAGCTTCCACCCAGAAATGGCCACAGCAAAGGACAGAGCAGGGTGCTGGTGCCCCACAAGATCGTGTTCTGCTTAATTGAGCAGCAATTAAGGGCAGTGTTAATTCCTGCACAGACCTGTGCAAGCACTGGTGCTCCTGAATGCATCCCAATAGCAGGAGCTGCTCCTGCCCCAGGGCCACTGCTCCCTCCAGGACCCATTACACATAAACTTTGCTTGGCAGCCGGGACAGGCTGTGTTATTGATCGTGGCTGTGTTATCAGGTGTGGCACACTGATCAAAGGTTGTCAGCAGAGCAGCCAGGCACTGGCCCACAGTGGTGCCTCAGCAGGTCTTACACACAAACAAGCCCAAAGCAGGTGATGTGCTGTGCCCTCTGTGCCATGTCCAGCTTTCAAAAGGACTGAAATCCAGAAAGATGCAAGGAAAGGCTTCCCTGGAGCTGCAAAGACCATGGGAATATACATCCATCTATCCTTCATGCTTCCAGCCTGGGCTGAGTCACTGCCACAAGGGCATGAGGCTGTGAGGGCAATGCATAATAGGTTATGGCGAGGCAATTAATTATGCAAATTCCAGCAGGCCGCCATCACCTCCCACAGAGCACAGCAGCCCCAGGCATCCTACTGTGCTCCCAGGGCTGAGCACCTGAGCCTCTCACTAAGCCACAGCAGAACAACCCTGGCACAGCACCCAAAGCACCCCATGAGCGTGGCACAGCTCCCTACAAGCCCAGAGCAGCACCCACAGCACCCCACACAGCACCCCCTGAGCCCAGCCCGGCCCCTGCTGAGCGATAGACGGGCGAGGGAAAAACCTCCAGGACACAGGGCTGAGAAAAGCCAGCATAAAGCGTTTTTATTGCGATAATAAACTGGATACCTTTGTGCGGCGGAGAAGGAAGTGACCGGCGGGAATTTCTGTTACCAATGGACTGGGCAGGGCAGAGGGAGGGGACACAGGACACAGCTATGCATCCTGTGAGACCAGGCAAGCAGCGATGACCAGCATCAGGTGGCAGGAGAGAATGGGCAGGTGTGCTCAGAGCAGGGACAACAGGGGGCTGACAGTTCCTTTCCACGGGGGGGAAGGAGGACAGAGGCATTTTTGTTGAGTTGAGCCCCCACCACCTCCCCTGCAGACAGCACCTTCCCTTTGTCCAGTTTTCCTTTTTCTTTAAAGAAAGCTCCATGCTACAGGATTTTCAGGGTGTGGTGGAGCTCTGGTGGAAACCCAGCTCCCTAAATCCAAAAGTGGTCTGGAGGGGAAGGCAGGCCCACCGTGAGATGGCAGGGTGAAGCAGGGGCAGAGCAGCACTCCTTTCCCAAAGCAAACCCACAATGCCCACAGTGATGCTCCCCAGGGAGCAGGGAAAGGCCAGGCTCCCTCGCTGTCCCATTCCAGGCAGAATTCCTATAAACAAGCCTACTGCTCCCTTGCTCTCTGCATCCCTTCAGCCTCGACAACCTCACTCTGCTATGGCTTTTGCAGCAGCAGCAATTTCTGGTTTGAAAACACCATAAATCTGCACCAAAACGAGTAACTAACAGGATTCCTTTTGTTCAAATGACTCCTATCTAAGGTCAGCCCATCTGCGTGCTACTAGGAAAACATAGTCTACACCTGGAACAAAAATAAGATTAAGAACTTGACCCAAAAAGAGTTGAGGTTTACGGCGTATAGTTTAAAAAGACATAAAAACACGATACAAGGAGGAAGAGTCAGACGCAAAGCTTAGTGACCAAAGGCATTCAATCAAGGTGTAAGGTTATACAATGAGTGTAGTGGACTATCAGGAAAAGCTCCATACAAAGTCATGTGCACTCTTCTTGAAGCTGAGATTCTGGATTCCTCCATGTGCCAAACCTGTGGGGAGAGAGGAGAGGCAGTGTGACAGGGCCAGATGAGGAGTGAATGTGCCCAGGGCACGGCAACCACACCGGGCCCTCAGGGCAGCAGTCAAGCCTCGATCACAGCGGGGAGCACAGCCCCACCCTGCCCACACCGTGGGGACCCCACACCCCAGAGCAGAGCCCCAGAAACACAGAATGGGCTGGGTTGGAAGGGACCCTAAAGACCGATCTTGTTTCAGCCTCCTGGCACAGGGAAGCACACTGTCCACTAGACCAGCTGCTCCAAGCCCCATCCAACCTGACCGTGGACATTTCCAGGGAAGGGGCAGCCACAATTTCTCCGAACAGCGTGTGCCAGGGCATCTCCACCCTCACAGGGAAAAATTTCTCCCGAATATCTAATCTAACCTTGCCCTCTGTCAGTGTGAAGCTGCTCTGCCTTGCCCTGTGCTAAGTCCCTCTCCAGCTCTCTTGGAGGCCCTTTAGGCTCTGGAAGGTTTCCCCAGAGCCAGGCTGAGCAACTCCAGCTCTCAGCCTGTTTCCATAGCAGAAGTGCTCCAAACCTTGGGTCACAGTCACAGCCTCCTGCCCACATCATCAGTCCCATACCCTGGCAGCATGGGAGACAGGAGTGTGTGAGGCAGCCAAGACCCCTTAGTGCAGCAACAACACTCAGAACCCAAAGCACAAAGAACTGGCACTGCAACACCTCCATGACATGAACCTGCTCTGCCAGGCTGAGAACTTTGCATGTAGCACTGTAGTGATCTGAACCCCAGCTCACCAGACTCCCAAGAGCAGCTTCTACCCACAGCCAGAAACCTGTCCTGTCAATCTCATATTTCCCACTACTGCCCACTCCCCCCCTCTCACCCCCATCCCACCTCCCCTCCCCACATTGTCTCAAGAGATCAAACACAGGGGCCTTGAGCTGTCCTCAATCCACACAGCCCCTGCCAGAAGCTGCTCCTCCTTACCCGAGGACAGGGTGCTGGGATGGGTCATTCCAATTTCATGAGCTCCACGTCAAAAATTAGAGTAGCATTTGGTGGGATGATCCCTGGGTGGCCAGTGGAGCCATAGGCATAATCTGGGGAGATGGTCATCTTTGCCCGCTGACCAACGCTCATCTGGGGCAGGGACAGAAACACAGGGATGTCAGGAGATGGGCACAACTACCAGGTGAGTGACAGAGGAGGGACACACACCTATCCCCACTGCTTTCCCCACACTGGGCAAGGGCAAGGACCCAGGCTGCACAAAGCAGAGAACGAGAAGAATGTCAGAGGGAAAAGGTAGGCAGCACAGGCTGGAAAAGGAGCAGGGCTTGAGATGTCCTTCACACAAGGGGAAGGCAGGGAATGCCAGGGCATTCCCTCCAGCCACCAGCATCCTTGTGCTTGTGTTGCCAGCACAGCACAGAGTGAGCAGCGTCACACGGGCAGGAGCTGAAGCTGTGCTGTGCCCACAGCCCTCCCTCTGCGTGGGCTCTGGAGCCCAGGAGGCCTGAGCACTCCCGCCGTGCTCATCCAGAGCTAACTCAGTGCAGAAATGTCACCGCTGAGTCACCGACGTGCCGTAGGTGTTGCTGGGGCCTGGCCCGGCTCTGTTCCTGCCAGCTGGCAGGTGGCAATGCAGAAGGTGATATTCACACCCACACCTCCCAGCGCCGAGGGGGTGGAACAGGGGAATAAAATAAAAAAAATAATAAAAGAGGGAACGAGCTGCATGCACACTGATTGCTGCCCACGCGGCAGCTCCTGGCGCAGCACAGCCTGGCACGGGGAGCGCGAGGCGGAGGAGCTGCGGGCACCTGAGCGACTCCTTCCTCCCAGCCGCGGATCACCTCCTGCTTGCCCATCACAAACTTGAACGGCTTGTTCCTGTCGCGGGAGGAATCAAACTTCTTCCCATCCTCCAGCATACCTGGGGAGAGAGAGAGGGAGGTGATGGTGATACAAGGACAGAGCCACGCACGCCAGTGTGAGATGCTGTGACCTAGCAGCCCGAGCAGGTGACAGTCACATGGCTCTGAGTCAAAGATGTGTCTCAGCTTGATCTCCTTCTCCCTGGGAAACACTTGTACAGGAGGGGAAATCCCTGTGGCATCACCCATCTTGGGGTAGAGAAGGATGACACTTAACTGTTTTGGCAGAAGAGAAGTGTTCCTCTGGGCCAGGACCAAGGACAGACAGGGGAGCAGATAGATGGGGGAAGAAAATCTTGCCCACCTTGCAGCACCACCGACAGCCATTTATCAGGCAGCAGGATCCGACCTTGTGCTTCCCATCCCACAGGAAAACACGCCTCTCACTCTTCACCAGGCTTCCACCTTCAGGCATCCAAAAACACTGATGACACTACCCCATCTGGAGGCTGTGACTGGCCTCCAGGCCTGCCTGTGCCCAGCTGATCTAAGCCAAATCCCTCCTGGACCCAAGAATGACGACAGGGAGAGGCATCACCAAGTGCTAGATGCATGTGCCTGGGGCAGCCCTCGTTCCCCAGCACGGGCTGAGCCAGGCTGATATCCCCAGAGCTAAATATAACTCCCCAACATAAGCTAAGGAGGAATTTCCTCCGCTCCCTTGCTCCCTGCCTGACCTTCTTGGGGAATCTTGGAGCTGGCGCTGCCTTATAGGAGCAGTAACTCCACCAGTCAGCTCCCATAGACAGCTCCAGCTCTGCATTAAAACAGCCAGTGCCCTGTACAATAAACCCTGTGTGATAAGAGCAAAATTAAACCCTCTTCAAAACATTTCTTCACTTCCGAAAACAGCCCAAAAATCTTGCTATCCTGGCTGGACACTGCTCTACAGTCTTGAAAAGCCGAACTTCCTCAGGATGGCATGGGACAGATTGACTTCCCTTTGCCAGGGCACGTGTGCAAGGGAAAATGTGTCTGGTGAAGAAGATGGGATGGGGAAGCTCAGCCCCTGCTTGCACAGTACCAGAGGGAATGGCACAAAGAGAGCAGCAGCCACAGTGGTAGGAAATGCTCAACGGAAAGAAGGGAATGGGAGAAAATACATCACCTTTGCAGGGGCAACAAGCACCGAGACCTGTGGGCTCCTCTCAGGGAGCAGAATTAAGTTTTTTATTTAACAGACAGCAAAAATCCCTTCTCCAGGGTGTCCAGCATCAGCTCAGCCGGTCATGCTGTAGCCCTGGACTTTGGAATAGTAAATCTGGAGTTCTGGAGTTCTCTCATTTCCTCCTTCCAGGATAAACCTCTTGTCACTGAACCTGCTTCCAGCCCCGTCTGGCACTGCTCCTCGCTCCCGTCCGCTGGCCTTGCTCCCACCTGGCAGCAGGGACACGGGGCAGGCCGTGCCGGCTGGCACAAGCAGCGCTGCCTGGCTGCGGCCCCAGCTGACCCCAACTCAGCTCCCGGCCCTCCGGCGCTGACACAGGCCAGGGTGGCTGAGGAGGGACAGAGAGGACAGCTCTCTGCCACCCTTCTCCCTGGATACCCACCAAGGAAAAACTCCCAGGGACCATGCAACACAACCCCCTGCTTGTCACAGCAAGCAGCGATTACTGGGCATCTGCAGCCTGCAGAAGTGAATCTCGTTTATGTCCTGACCTGGGAATGCAGAAGCATCAGCAGCAGTGCAGGAGATGCTATCAACCTTGCACGGGAGTGGACAGGACTGTCTGACCCCTCTGCCAAGCTCACCTGTCCCAATCCAGCCTCAGGAACTGTTTCAGAGCTGGCAGCTCCGTGGCTGCAGAAGAGAGGGATTGCTGGACTATGCTGGATGCGGCAGCCTAAGGGATCGATCACTCAGCTCTCCCGAACCAGGATGGAGAAGGTCATATATGGGAGCCTGGCCATGTTCCCCCATCATGCCAGTGGGAAAAACAAAGAGTCTACAATCCTTCAGAGACTGCATCTTCATCTCAGGCACTTCCTCTGCCCGCAAGCCTCCTAGGAGATTTCTCCAGCCCTGGACAAGTATGAGTAACCATTTCCTCATCCCTGCCATCCCTGAGCAAGGAGATAACAAGATCTTAAAGATATTATGGAGGCAAAGCATCCTCTGGCAAAAGCAGCTACCCCAGCAGAGCCCCAGGTGCAGCAGATAGCCCCTGGCACATCCCAGCTTATCCAAGCCCCTGACAGGTCTGTGTGCTTGTCACCCCCAGTCCTGCAAGGATGGCAGAGCTAACACAGGTGGATTATTGAGACTCACTTGCCCTGACTCCAACCTAGAAGGATTTGAACCCTCAGAGGTCTCAGGAAATCACAGTGAGGAAGAACAGAGAGCCTTACAGCTGAGGCTGCAGCAGCTACGGGATGGAGAAGGGGCTGTGGAGCACGGCCCCAGCTGGGCAGCGTGGCCCTGCCAGGTCTCTGCCACACTTGGCAGGCAGGAGCTGGGAGACGCCGGCTGCAACGTGCGACTTGGCTCCGGGCCCCCCTGGGCGGGCAGAGGCAGCAGAGAGCAGTGCTGGAGCAGGCAGACTCAGCCCTGGGACAAACCTGCCGGGTCGGGTTCTGCCAGGGGTGCGGAGCCCCACCCGCACCCCCTCCATCCCCTCCGGGGTGCTGATCCTTGGCACGGCCATTGCCCAGGGGCTCTGGCGCAGAGCCAGCCTCCCAAGGAGAGGCAGGAAGAGACCAGAGCAGTGGGGCAGGCACCTCTGCTCCAGCTGGGACAGGATGGAAAACCCTTGCCAGAAGCCCTGGAATACCCAGCATGCTCCAAACCCCTGCTCAGGGCAGGGATGCCTGGATGAGGTTCAATCCTGCCTCCACCAGCACTCCCCATCACTCAAGCCCACCCCATTATCAGCCACAGCTGGATGGAGAGAGGGCTCTGCCCACCATTCTTGAGGCCTGGCAGGACAGAGGACCACAGCAGAGGCAGGGAAGGAGTGCAGGAGACAGCGCTGAGCTCCCACAGTTGCCACAACCCATGGACCAGCAGTCGCACACCTTGGGAGGAAACACCTCACAACCACAGGGCATTAGCTGAGCAGCACGAGAGCATCGAGGGCAGCACCCAGAGCAACTGGGGGAGCACCACTGCCCCAGGGACTGTGCACAGGTGCTAGGGAGGATAGCAGTCCCCTCAGTTCCATCCTGCTGGAGAAATGCAGTTTCCTTCAGTATCCTTCTCTGCTCCAAGCCCAACTCCCTCAGAGACCTCACATGCTGAGTGCAAACCTGTTTGGCCAACCTATGTCAGACTTGCTCCTGTCTTGGCACTCCCCAGAACGACTATGGTCCCCCCATTTCCCCTCCTGAAGCACAGTGGGGTGCCCACAGTCTCCCCACACAGCTGGTCCCCCTGGCACCAGCACTACAGGACCCTCAGCTGCACAGCACGCCCACTCTGCTCCCTGCTCTGACTCAGGGGGGCTTAGCTCTGTTGGCCCCAAATCCACATCCTCTCCCCACTGATTCACTCCCACGCTCCATTCCATCCCATGCCAGTTGCCGCAAACAAAGCAAAGTGTGCTGAACACACTGGGCACATTGGGGAACTTTATCCTTGATTTTGTTCCTTTAAGAGCCCTACGTAGCAGATTTCATATCAGAGGCTCTTTTGGACACCCCATGGCACAAGCTCTCCACAAAAACACCCAGGACCTGGAAGGAAGGAGGGGGAACAAGTTCAATTCCACCAGCTCCCCTCATATATTTCCATCTCTGCAACCCCAGCATAAATAACTGGCATCTCCAAGGAGGAGGCCCAGAGGTTGCTCTTCTCTCCACCTCTTTCCTCTGCACTGCCCTCCTGCACCAGGGCTGTCTGTACATTCTGGGATGCTCTTAGCAGGGCCATGCCCCATGGAGCAGAAGCCTAGGCACAGCCAGAAGCAGCACCAGCCACTGGCTGACCAAGTCACAGTCCCTCACACTTGGATCACTGTTTTTTTCCCCAAGTGGTTTTTACCCAAACCACTGTGCATCCATAACCCAGCACAGGGAGAGCTGCCTCCTGCATACCACAGGCTGGATCTCCCCAGCACTGGAGCAAAGGGCAGCTGGGGACGGAGCCAACACAGGGCTCTGGAAGGAGTCCTGAAGCTCAGCACCTCCAGCACTGCACTCTGCCACCATCTTTGATGCTGCTCTGGGATCGGCAAGCGTTGCAACTGGGCCGGGAATCAAAGGTTTGTAAGGTTTCCCATAAGCCAAGCCCCGCTCCTGTCTCTGGCAGGGCTGGCTGCAGGAACTGCGCTGCCGACGCAGGGAAATGGCATCAGGGCCTGGAGGTGTTTGATTCCTGCTGCCTGCCGAGGCAGGGGGGGCAGGAGCAGCCTGCAGACGGAACGGGGGTGGGGATAAAGGACAAATGGAGACAATAATAACAAAAAAATAAAATAAAGGAAATTAGAGAACCGCTCCCAGGCGCAGCAGATGACTGCTGGGGAGGGTCCGTTGTGAGCAAGTCACCACGTAGCACTTTGCCTGAAGCACCGTGACGTGGGTACAGGATGCTGGTGACCCCCAAACAGCTCTGCTGGGGTGGGGGACGGAGCTGGGGAGAGCAGCCAAGCTCCAGCAACGCCGCAGGAGGGGAGAGCCGGCGCAGGGAGCCAGAGGGTTGGGAGCTGGGAGGGCTGGCAGGCGGCAGGACTGGCCCACCGGGAGCCACTTGACTGCCTGCCAGCCTCTCTTTGTTCTTCCACCGGCAGAGGAAACGGGGCGGCCGGGCGGACCAAGCTGTTTCCTCTCCCTGCTGACGAGGGAACGGGAAGGACGGGGGAGATGGAGGAGCAGCAGATGGGCTGGATGCCCGCCGAGCCCTCCCGACAGTCCAGGCCCCGTTCCGCAGAGAGGGGCACCCCCAGCCCTCCAAGGGGAGCAAGGCGAGGCAGAAAGCGCTGGGGCGGGAAGGGGAATTGGTTATTAGCAAAAACAGTCACAAATGAGTCATTAACTCATTTTTACCATGCCAATGAGCCAACGCTGTACAAAAGGCAGCCCAAGGGGACAAGAGCCCCCAGAGTGATCCCCAAAGCATTTTTTTGGGGTCCCAAGGTTGGTTTCTTTCCCCCCAGCCTTCCTTGCAGAAGGCTGCTGGAGGACATGACCCACCCTGGTTTTGGGGCAGCCCCTCATTAAAGCACTATCCCGACCACTTAACAGCGCCCTGATTACCTGCACTGGGGTCGCCCCAAAAAACCCCATGATGCGGGTCTGGAGCGGCCCCACGGGTACCCCTGGTGTCACCCTACAAGGGAGAAGGGGATTGGGGCAGGACTAGGGAGGAGGATTGCACTCCTGCAGGGAGCTATGGCAGTAGAGACCCCGCTCTGAAGAAGCGGACCCCGAAGCTCCCGGGGGGTGACTTGTGGAGCCCGTGAGGGCTCCGGGCCCGGCTGCCCCACAGCCCACGGGTCTCGGCTGCCCTGGGACCCCCAGGGCTCTGCCCGGGGTACCCCTGCCTGTGCCCTGGCGTCCCCTCTGGGTCGTTCCCCGGTGCACCCCCAAAAAGAAGGCTGGATACGCGTGGGAAAGGCCCCTTCATTGAAAAGGCTGCGGGAAAGACGGGGACATCGGGGCCTCCCCACAGCCACGGGGCACCGACAGGACTTCCATGCCCACCCCAGCGCCCCCCGGGAAAGGCCCCCGTGGCGGCCCGGAGCCCCCTCTTCCCCACGGAGCGCCGCGGCCCATCCGAGCCGCCGCGCCCGGGGTCTCTGCAGGCAGCTGGGGGCGGGGGGTTGCAGGCCCCGCTCCCTCGGTGTCCGGGCCGGTCCGAGCCTCCCGCCCCTCCGCTCCCGGGGCCGCCCCGCACTCACCCGTGTAGTGCACCACGCAGGTCTGGCCGCGCTTGGGGAACGTCCGCCCTGCGGGGAGACACGCGCCATCACCCCGCGGCACCGGGACCCGCACCGGGACCCGCGGGGAGGGCAGGGAGAAGGGATGGGGGGGAGCGGGCTCGCCGCGGCTCACCGTCGCCGGGGGCGATGGTCTCCACATGCACGCCCATGCCGGTGCCGGTGCCGCTCGCACCCGCAGCGCCCGCAGCCCGACGGAGGAGGGGCCGCGTGTGCGCAGCCGCGGCAGTCACCGCCATAAAGCCCGCCCGCCCCGCCATGGAGCCCGCCCGTCACTTCCATAGATCCCGCCCGACCTTCCATAGATCCCGCCCGGCGGTCTGCCCTGGCCGCCGCCATCTTCCGCCCCCCCGCCCGCCGCCATCTCGGCACCGCGCGGTTGCCGAGGGAACGCGGGCCCGGCCATGAGGGACCCTCCGGGCGCGGCGCCCTGCGGGCTTTGCCCCTTTATCGCCATTTCCAGCCCACACAGCCGCGGGGTGCGTGGCCCAACACAGAATCAATTACTTTGGAAAAGGCTTCTGAGATCAGCGAGTCCAACCTCTGACCCAACACCACCGTGTCAACCAGACCAGAGCGCTGAGCGCCACGTCCATTCTTCCCTTAAACACCTCCAGGGACGGTGACTCCAGCACCTCCTTGGGCAGCGCATTCCAAGGTCTAATGACCCTTCCTGTGAAGGTATTACAGCTAACATCCAACCTAAACCTCCTCTGCTGCATATTAAGACCATGTTCTCTCGTCCTGTCCTTTGTTCTGCTGAACTGGACACACACAGTCAAGGTGGCAGTGCAGACCCAGAGCTCCATGTCCTCCAAAGGCCAACAGCGTCCTGGCTTGTGCCCTCCCCGGTGTGACCAGCAGGACCAGGGCAGTGCCCGTCCCCTGTGCTTGGCACTGCTGAGGCACCTCGAGTCCTGCCGTCAGTTCTGGGCCCTTCACTTCAAGATGGACATGGAGGAGCTGGAGCATGTTTAGAGAAGGGAAAGGGGCTGGAGCACCAGGAGAGGCTGAGACAGCTGGAGGGGCTCAGCCTGGAGAACATGAGGCTCAGGAAGAATCTCACCCTCAACACTCCCTGACAGGAGGGTGCAGCCATGTGGGGCTCAGACTCTGCTCCCACGGAACAAGGGACAGGACAGGAAAAAATGCCTGAAGTTGTGCCAGAGGAGGTTTATGTTGGATATGGAGGAAAACACCAGCACAGGCTGCACAGGGCAGTGGAGTCATCATCCCCGAAGGAATTTAAAAGACATGTGGATGTGGCAGGTGGGGACATGGTTTAGTGGTGGCCTTGGTCATGCTGGGATTTGATGAACTTAAATGTCTTTTCCAACCATAACACTTCTGTGATTAATGCTGCTCCCCACTGTGCAGATGGAGGTCAGTGCTGGCCCTGCATCACTGGGACAGGCTCAGCAAAAGATATGCAGGTTTGAACAATCCCACACTCAAAAGGACCTTTTTCTGGTGACAGCAGCAACTATTTTCTTTTTTGGTCAAAAAAAGAATCACTCCAGGCACAGAATTTTGCCTCAAAGTGTCCTATTTCTTTACTTCAAGGAGGTGAACTTGAGCCTCCACAAGGGAACAGAGAAGTTCCAAGGACAGCCAAGAGACTAATAGAAAGCCAGGATTCTCAGCAAGTGCATTAAAATGGGACATAAGAGGAGGAGACTCTTAAAATAACAGATAATAGCATGAAGCAAGTTTTACTTGCTTCTGTCCCTTGCGTGTATCTTTTAAATACTGAAATACCAAGGGTGGGTTTTTTTCTCGTTTGATGCCATAGCATTATGTTTTACATTAAAGCTCCAACACACCGGAGGTGCTGGTGGTCCCTGACTTTCCACATCAGGAGGGCAGATGTGTGAGGCCCTGGGTCAAGGTGAAAAACAACAGGGTAGAAAAAGGGGCATGTTCTCATCCCTGTGTAGTAATGCTGTCTTTGTCAAGAGCTGGGCCTGCTCTCTCTACAAGAAGTAGTGATAAACAAGGATCTGAAAGGGGAAAATGCTGCTGGATGTAAACCCACGTTGGAGCCCTTCCCTCACTGGTGTAGGCACGCTTGCACACGTCAGGCTCAGCAGCTCTTGCTCTGGGTGAGGTGTTTTGGGGTTTTTTGTTTCGTTTTTTTTTTTTAAAGTCCCTGGCATAATCTGCTCATCTTACCAGCAGCAAGGTCACTGCAACAAGCAGTCTTTCAACAGGGGCAAGGTGCTCAGCCAGATTTGACCAACCACTCACTGCTCAGGGTCCAGCTGGTCAGACTCAGGAGAGGTTCAGGTCACATTCTGGTGCCTAAACTCTTGAGAAAGCATAAAGGCTTGAAAATTAGTGAATTCTGCCCCAATCGTTCCCTACCCTCAGGCTCATCCTCTGACAGAACTCACTAAATCAGAAATGCCAAGAGGGACAAACGTGACCATTGAGATTTAATACTGTAAAAAATAAAAGGGACATTATTTGAGCTACAGAAACACCACCCCAGGCAGCAGTGGGCTGGCAGCCACCACACACACCAGCAGCTGCGGATTTGCTGGAGGGAAGGATGGATCCACAGAGGGATCTGGGCAGGCTGAATCGATGGTCCAAGGCCAAAGGTATGAGATTCAACAAGGACAAGTGCCAGATACTGCCCTCAGGTCACAGCAACCACATGCAGTGCTCCAGATTTGGGACAAAGTGGCCGGAAATCTGGGAAGAGATCTGGGGGTGCTGGACAGCAGCAGCTGAAGTTGAGCTTGTGTGTGCTCAAGAGGGCAAAAAGGGCAATGGCGCCTGGATGAGCAATAGTGTGGCCAGCAGGACCAGGGCAGTGACCCTGCTCCTGTCCTGTTCCTAACTCCAGAGGCAGCCAGACTGGAAGCAGTGGCAGGGTGCAGTGCATCCCAACACCTGACCAGGCTGAGCCAGATGATCCCAAGGAAGAGCCTTCAGCCTCCAGAAAACTAAACAACAATAAAGGAAAAAAAGAGAGAAAAACATGAGGTTCTTTGTGCATCAGAGAAATGGTTTTGAACCAGGGCTGCTGGAACTGTCCTGACACAGCTCTCAAACAGCATCACCTCATTGATCACAGTGTTGCACCATGAGACTTAAGGCTTTGCATTAATTCATCGCACAACTGGGGAGCAATTTGCTCAAATCCTGCCAGTGTGCACCAGACTGGAGAGCTGCAAGGTCAGCCTACGGTCAGATCCAGCTCCAGCCCTAAAAATAACCAGCCTCCCTCTCTGCCTCTGCACAAGGCTGAGCCCAGCCCAGCACTACAGCCCCTGGATGCCTGATTTCCCCCCTCTCCCCCCACTGCCCCCTCACTGTTGCCAGGAGAGATGTGGGGGTGCCAGCAGCTTTTGAAGATGCTGCTGTGGGAGATGTAGCTATGGGCTACGATTTAAAAGTTCAGCCCATCTTGAAATTAATTTGACACTTCTGCTATAACCTCCCAACCTGTTAAAACCCAGGACAAGCTGCCAACTCCTCCTAGCTGCTGGCCGGAGGCAGTATAGCCTATTCTCTCCTGTTTTCCCAGAAGTGACTCAGGTGACATGGCCCAGGCAGGTGGACAGAGCTGACTCCCACCCCCCTGCTGCCAGGCGTTGTTTCTGCTTATGCTTTAACCCACCGCTGGCTTCAACTTCACCTTTGTTCAAAGAAATTCTAAACCTTTCCTTGTGAAAGGGCAGTCTGAGCACAAAGACATTCACTATCTCAGGAGTATTTTCCCTATAAACTGGTCAAAAATAGTTTCCTCTCAAAAACAGCCCCTATGTTTGCTGTGCTTGTGTTCCCACCAGGCTAAGTGACACTTCCACACTCCATTGTCTCAGTGCTGCTCTGGGGCTGGTGGGGGCCCTTCCTCCCAGCACTGCAGTCCAGATGAAAGCAAGGATCTGCCTTGCCCAGATCTATCAGGACCTGCCAGGCCCCTGGAAGAAGCTCTGGTGAGGTGGCAGGACAGGGCCTGCAGCAGGACCCCCTCCCCGTGCCTGCCAGCTGGGAGAGGGAGGGGTTTGGGACACAAACCAGGCCTTTGGGATAGGGAACAGGAAGCAACAGGAAGCAATGACTTTCCCCCACAGCAGCACATCCTGACAGCACAGCAAATCTGTGTCTGGATGAACTCAGCCTCTCCAGCCCAGGTTTATTCTCAGCTGCCACACTCTACCTGATGTAGGTTAAAAGGAACCCAAGCACGCATGAAACATGGTGAGAAGTCAGGCAAGGCTAGGACAATGGGCAATGGCTTCAAACTGCATCCATCTCTCATCCTCCCCAGCTTCAGCTCTCCCAGGCTCTGTTCCAGGTCCCTTCCCAGAGAGGCTGGGACTCCCCAGCTGGCCAGGCCCCATCCCTGGCAGCACAGGATGGTGTGTGAGACAGTCAGCCCCAGGCACCATGTTCCTTACAGTCTGGAAGGAGCTGTACCTGAACAGGTGCTACAGGAATTTCAGGGAGGTGGGGTAGGGATCACACCATGCTGTAGCAGAGCACCCTGGACAGCACAGAGCTTGGAGCAGCCCTGAGGAGGAAGCAGAGCTGGCCAGATGCGACCCTCAGATAAGGTGGTCACACTGCTCCTTGCACAAGCTGAGTTACACAGAACGGCCTCTTCCCCAGCCTCCAAACCACAGCCCAGCTACTGCAAGATCAAGATCTGTGAGAGGAAGCACTAACATTTGAGAGAAAATATAATGTCTGAGTTTCTAACATCTCTTATTTTCTTGCTTAACTGCTTCAATCCTTGCCCTGCAGCAGAACCCTGGGGCAGCAGTGATCTCTGCATGCAAGATCTGCCCTCAGCTGGAGCCTGGAGGAGAGCTGCTGGAAGAATTGACTCCATATGTCCCACCACACTGGCCTCTCGGAGCACTGAATCCCTCAAAAACCTCACCTCCCAGTGGAGTGTCCCAGCTGACTCCTTGTGCTATCACTCAAGGAATTTAAACATAGCAAAGACCCTCCTGAGGTATCTTCATGGACATTCACCATGGGACCAACTTTTTGTCAGTATTTTCTCCTTGGGCTCTTGCTGACCAGGAAGCCACTAGCAGACTGCACCTCAATCTGTTCAAGGGAAATTTTCAAAGAGACATGGAATGGCTCCAGCCGGGGGGGGAGCAAAACAACAATTTGAAAGGGAAAGAAGTCCTGGGGAAAAGCTGTGAGCATCAGCACGATGCAGCTTGTTCCAGCCAGTGTTTCATCTGCATTCCCTGAACACTCCTCCAAGTG